TAGAAATATCTGAGTACAGGACGTTGGCGTCTGATGGCGGGATACGATAGAAGGGGCTTTTTTATACAGTAGTGACTGATCGCTAAATCGTCATATCGTGAAGGTTGTTTGAGTAGAAAGTTGTGCGATTTTAGGGTAGCCTTTTCGAAACGCCGCAGTCGCTCCTCGCCTCTCCGCAGTATGACATGTTCTCATCGCCGTTTCGATCATCCCAACGTTGCTCGATCTGTCAGAAAGACATCCAAGGGCAGCATCGACAATTCTCTTGCTCACACAAGTTCGTTCTCTACATCTACCAGGTCGTGCCTTGCAGTGCCTTGCGCTGCCTGAGCTTTCGATCGTTACATGTTTATAGCTAATAGGGAAAAAAGAGTTACGTAGAGACGGCAATCTGCACACATCGCTTCGCACACAACCTTGTTTGTACAGGACCTTCCGTTCCTTAAGGATGGTTAACTGGATGTTTCCAGAATTTGTGGCCAATGCTGTTCCCTAACAGATAGCCGCAAGTGCCTGATTTGTTTCACAAATGCAGGTACTACACCATTTCCTCCTTATATGTTCCTCTCTCCACCACATGCTGATCACTCTAATGGTAGGATTTTAAGGTTGTTTCAAAAGCTTCTAAAACGTGTGATCCAATTTAGAGCTGTTGGACAATGCGCTTTCAATGCACAAAACATCCATCGGCTCCTATCAAAATGGTTTAACAGATGCGATTCAGGTGATTTCGTTGGGTTTTGATATGTCTAATTTTCAATGTTGAAAAATTTCCATCTTCATTCAGAGCATGAGCCTCGGCCTTGGCGAGCTTTCCACCCCACTGGAAACATTCAACCTTTGGGACAATCGCTCAAAACTTTCTACACCAACGCGAGGCTCGACTTCAAAAGGGATTGTTCTGCCAGAAACTCCACTTCGGCCAGAAGATGACCATCCACCGGTGTTCTCACCTAACACACAACTTGTGAATACATCTGCAGTTTCTTCACCGCTTCCGGTTAATAACTCGCTCAACGTCACGACACCCCAACGACCGATGATGCCCACGTGTGCAACATGTGGGGTGAATGCCAGGCAAGTTTCTCTTCTCCATCGTTTTTTTTTTGATGCGACAAAGGTTCAGAAGAAATGCATGACTTTGCTGCTGCCAAACTTCTTCGAGTATTTCCACTTTACATTTCATTCCCACGCGAGAATACAGTTTTTGAATCTGCTCAGTCACTGAAGGAGAGTTATGTTTGGATAGTGAAGGTGAATTCGTTTATCTCAAAACAAGTTGCTTTGAAATCCTCACCTTTATCCCT